TTTTGGCAAGCTAATTTATTATAAGTTATCCACCATTCTAGTCTAACTTTGATAATTCTTTCCAAAGTCTTCAAAACACACGACATCAAAGAGATTGGCCTATATGATTGTACCAAGTTGGGATCTTTATTTGGTTTGAGGATTGGTATGGACAATAACAGTTCTTAATACATCAATTTTCTGCATCTTTAAAAAGAATATCATTAAAAATATCAAGTAATACGTTTTTCGCTATATTGGGAAGTTTTTTAAGCATAGGATATTTAATATCATCGTAACCCGGAGCGTGGTTAGACCTATTAGTTAGCGCAAAGTCAAGTTCTTCCCGTGTAAATGGATTTAGAAGAAAGTGACTTGAAGTTATAGTATTATTTTGAATTTCTATAGCAGTGTTAACTGATGGAGGTGCTATTTTGTCAAAAAATTCTTCAATCAGTTCATCATTAAAATGATTAATACTTGGAGTATACTTCCTTTGCATTTTCCCTTGCTTCATTCCACACATTTTTAATAGGCATATTTTTATTTAATGATGAACACCAGTTTTTCCAAGTTTCTTTGGCTTTTCGTTTTAGAACTTTTTTTGTTTTAGCCATTACTTCCTGACATCGTACGTAATTAGTGAAACTAGAGTTATTTTTATATGTTTTTAAAGCATCTTTCCTGTCAGAAACAACTTGTTCACATTCGAAATCCCACCACGGAGGAGGTGGTCGTTTAATAATTTTAAAGGGTTTATATGTCGGAATGGATTGAGAAGATGCATTATTAATACTTTCCACTAGGAAGTCATATTTCTCTGAGGTAGTCAAGCTGTCCGAATAGTTAAGAAAGTTTTGTTCAATTAGATCAGAGTATTGGGTCCAATTAGCTTTATTAACATTCCATTTGGACTTTGGAAGAATGTATTCATTACGAGAAATAACAGAAGAAAAATTCATGAGAACTACATAATGATTCGATCCCAGTGTGTCATCCAAGACGTCCCAGTAATTTCTTTTGCTAAATCAGGAGAACACAACGTAATATCAACACTAGATTGTTCACATCCGGGCGGGTCAGACAAGTTGCGTTGCCATTATTAAGAACAACTAAATCAAGAGTATCAATGGCATTAATAAGTTGGTGCCCAATGCCATCATTCTTAAGTGAACCCCACAAACTGTTATGCGCATTCATATCACCACCTATAATGCAAGGAAAATTAAATTGTTCAAAAATTTGACACCAATCTTGGAAGTCGATCGAATATCTGGAGGTCTATAAATTGAAGCAAAATTAATATCAGAGTTATTAAATTTTAACGTGATTCCACAAACAAGTATATCGTCATTAAAATTTTGTGTAATACAAATTTCTTGAAAAAGAAGAATTGATTGTATAAGTATAGCCACTCCGCGTAACCATCATATCGGTCGCGACGAATAATCTTATAACCCTTAAAGTTTATATTGTTTATCGGGTTTAAAACCATGTCTCACTCAACAAGGCAACATCAATATCATTTTCATTTAAAAAATGTGTTAAACTGTTTTTGTTGGCGACAGCAGATCTACAATTCCATGCATGATTTTTAATCTATTTAAGAGAGTGAAAATTATGTAACCTTTTTTGTACCCTCCAATACAGAAGTAATTTCATGATTTATTATTTCATTATCTAATGATTTCAAATCGTCCAATGTACGTATATTTTTTAAAAAACTAATTACAAAGTTATCATAGCTCGAGCAATATCTTGGTTTTCCCTTTTTCCACTATGAGAAGTGGAACGGGGTGGATTAGCAGGTAGAGGTTGAGATGGTCCAAATCTGAAGTTAAACATGGGAGGTGGCTGAACAGAGTTAGAAGATACAGTAGGAGAAGAATTGGCTTTCCTCTTTTTGTTAGAACTGAGTAATTGTTCGAGTTTTGGCGAAAAGTTGGATTAAAATTGGGTACTCGTAGTTGCATTAGAAGTAGATTGCGCAGATGTTAGGGACATTTTATTTTGTGTAATATCAGGAAAATTTTTATCGTATGTTCGCTAAAATTGAAAACTTATTTTGGCCTAGGCCTCTGAATACGAGTTTTCATTAATTTCCTTGGCTTCGATAAAGAAATTTATATTTTTAAATCATAATATTTTTAATTTTTTGGTTGTTTTTGATAAGAAGGACAAACTTTTTGAAACCGAAACATGTGCAGTTACTCTTACAATGAATGCACTAATCTCTGAATTTTCGCAAGAATGATTTTCGTCTTTATTCTTTCCACATCGAATACATAGATTTTGAGAACTTCTACACTGTTTTGAAATGTGACCGTATCTCAAACACCTGTAACACTGAGTAACCCTACCTACAAATGTTCGACTGGACAAAAAACTCTATTTATAATAACATACTGAGGCAGTATATTACCTTCAAAAGCTACAATAACAGTTCGTTTTGCAACATACTCAATTGTACCATTTTTTTCAACTTTTCTATTCATACGTTTAATATTTAATATAACGTGAAGGAGATTCAATATTTTCCTGTAAATATACAGTATCAAATTGAGTAACAATATCCCGAATTAAACCCTTGCTTTCTAATAAGTGACCGGAATAAAGGCTTTTAAATTTTCTTCCTTAGTTACTATTATTTATAAGATTAATTGCAACATGTATAGAAGCTACTACTACCTTAATTCTGTTTCTACCATTGCCCTTACTTGAATTATATTGGAAATTCCTAATTTTTTGTACAAAATATGACCTATTGTAATTGGATGTAAGCGACCAAGATCGGTGTTATCTATCCTTTCAATAATACACAAAAATATTTCAAGATTATACTTATCTGAATTTACGTTAAATCCTCTATTTTTTAACGGTACCATCGTTTTCTTCAGGCTCCATACTTCAGATGACCTAACAATATTGTTAGAGGCACTTAAAAGCGTCCTTGAGTCAATTCCAGTCCCCATAGGGGACGCTAACACATTTTTGAGCACTATGCGAGTATATTTTTATTAAACACTACAATTTAAAAACTAGCCGAATAAAAATTAATTTTAAATTACACAGTATTTGCTTTAAATTCAATGAAATAAACTTTAAAATGTAGAGAGTATTTTAAAAATACGTATCCACACTTTGACAGTTATTTGACACTTGAAGTATTCCAAGTTATTTTTCAAAAATATTTAAATCAATATTGTCATTGACTCGTCTTAATTTGTAAATGATCTGTGAATCTATCAAATAATAGACGTCAAATTTTTACTCTTCGAGTTTTTTGCCGACGTTAATAAAAGCATTTACGAAAATGAAACTAACAGAAACAGAACGAATCGAGATTTTAATCATGATTGGTTTTTAGATAGAGTGAGAACTCAAGCAGAAGTTTAGCAGACTCAATGCTAAATACCCCAATCGCGAACCAATTACTCAATCAACAGTAAGCAAAATTGGAAAAAAAAATAGAGAAACGGTCCATGTTAAAGATCTTCCCAGAATGGGTAAAAAATCAATATCCGAAGCCAAGAAACTGGACGTTGTACTGGCGTTTCAAGAAAATCACCATACCAGTTCTAGGCAGGTCGCACTAGATAATAATGTTCACCAATCAACTGTTGTAAGAGTGCTAAAAAAGGAGAAGTGGCATCCATACAAAGTATATCTGGTCCAGGAGCTATTAGAAGATGACTTTGATAGAAGAATCGAATTCTGCAAAACCGTTATGGAAAAATGTAACAGAGATCAGGGTTTCATACAAAAGGTACTTTTTTCTGATGAAGCGTCTTTTTTGCTGAATGGTCACGTAAATCGCCAGACATATCGATACTGGTCAAGTGAAAATCCACATTGGATGTAAGAGTATAGGACACAATATCCCGAGAAGGTGAATGTTTGGGCCGGCAATATAAACAATCAAATTGTAGGGCCATATTTTTTTGAGGAAAACTTAACTGCTTCTCGTTATCTAGAATTTCTTCAGAATTATCTGTTGCCACAACTGAATCAACTATTTGCAAATATAAATAATTTGTGTTACCAACATGATGAGGCTCCCCCACACTACGGCGTTGAGGTACGAAATAACCTTAATAACGTTTGCCCAGGTAGGTGGATAGGTAGAAGGGGCCCATCGAATGGCCACCAGGGTCTCCAGATTTGACTCCGTTAGACTTTTTTTGTGGGGATATTTAAAGAGCAGAGTGTATCAAAACCGACCGAATAATGTAGAAGAGTTGAAGGAGTGTATCAGAACGAAAATTGCACAAACACACCTGAAGTCATCGAAAGCGTTAGGAAAAAATTTATTGCCCATGTTTCACATAGTATTATTGCTGAATGTCGTTAATTTGAACATTTGTTGTAATTTAATTGTATTTAAGTAAATATTTATTGTAAGTTAAATGTATTAATAAACCGACAGTTATAAGGCGATAAGGAGACCTTTCAAATATCACTCTAACTACTATGACTAAAGCGGTGATGAGAAAAGTCGAAGTTTTCGATATGTGACTTTACAGAAAAATCCTGAAAATATCTTACGTAGACAGAGTAACGAATGAAGAAGACTTGCGAAGACTTTCAAAAGAAACAGAACTGAATAATGAAGTAATACGAAAACTGCGATACCTTGGCCACGTGATGAGAGGAACAAAATACCAGCTTCTGCCGAATATCATGCAGAGAACGATTTTAGGCGTTAAAAGACGATGAAATCATGCCTGTGTTGTATCAGCGAGTGGTTTAATTGCTCGTCTCACCACCTTTTTAGAGAAGCAGTGAACAGAGTTCCAATAATCATAATGATCGTCAACCTTCGAGAGAAGACGACACCTTAAGAAGAAGAAAATATATACTACGCTCTGAACAAAAAATGTGCCAGTGTCCAGTATAATCGACATTTTTGTCTAAAAAGATTAAATCTTTATATGTTAGAAACATATCTTAATCCCATTGGATGTCATAACTTTTAAACATTTTTTTATATTTGTTTCATTAACATAGTTTTTTCATTTTAGGCCCAGTGTTCGAAGTGATGCATAAATGTGATGAAGTTGAAAAGAAAGAAAAGAAATTTTTAATATTTCCAACTGTCCATGACGCAGTATTATACACACAAGTCAACGTTTTATCTAAAGACAAATAATTAGATATATATGTAGTTGTTTTGTACATAAAAGTTATTTATTTTATTATGAAAGTAAATAGAATGTTACTTATTTGCTAAAAAAGTAATTTATTTTTATAATGTTAAATGCGGCCTTAGGATAGAAAGCAGATAAAATGGTCCTATAGTAAAAAATGGGGAGAAATCTGTCTTTTTCTATTTTGGTGCTATTATACATGTTTGTTGTTGAATATGCGCCGATTAAATCGTAAAAAAATGACACATAAATAATAATTTAAAATGTAATAATGTTAAAATATTAAAATAATTTAATACGTAATATTTTTTTACGTAACATAGTCATCAATAAAACCATTGAAAGTAATTTATCATTTTAATCAACTTTCTAATAATGATATTAAAATAATTGAAAGATGAATTCCTAATTTCTTTTAAATTAGTATGGACCATAGTTTTTCGATTTTTAAAACACTTCACGGGTTCTATTTATTAAATTGTTGTATAATCAAATAATAAAATCTGTTAAGCTGTTCTTTGATATCGTCCTTATCAGTATAATTGAAAAACCTTTTAACGTACAATTTTTCATTATTTCTGGAAATCAGCAAAAAAAAATTAACAACAAAATTTTTCGTTAAGAAGTTATGTCTACTTATACAATAAGTAAAAAAGATCTTTCGACATATACAGATGCATATTTAAATTTTGACAAATTAACACCAACAGAAAGACTAGAATATTCACTCACCCTAGCGCCCGTTGTTTCGCCCTAGGGTAGTGTGTGACTTTGGGTATTTCACGCAAGTGTGCCAAGCTGACCTTACCCACTAAACATTTTGATCTTCTACGGCATACCCGTTATTACTCTTATATAGAGTAACGTCGAATGTGTAGCGTTTGACTCTCCTATTATAAATCTATTTCTAATGAGTGTAGAGTAATAAAATCTCATGAAGTATTCAAAAGCGCTACAGGGTAATCCGTCAATAATCCGTCAATAAATTCCTCCGCATTGCAAAATTCTGTCGTTTCATAAAGAGCAGGTAGGTATCACCCTGTTTTAAGGGATTAGTCCATTGTTATCGACAGATAAACACTGAGCCAGAGGCGCGCTAGTGGGTTAATTGACAAAAGAATATGCATTCTTAAAAATCATATTAAAGGAAATAAAAATGTAATACAGCAGAACAGTGTTATTAAAAAAATATAAAATGTAACAATAAAATATATACGAACCGAAATCGGGAAATACTCACAAACACACACGAATGAACTTTACATATTGAAACACTTGTGGGGAGTTTAAATCGTTGTGGGAGAAATACAAAAACTTTACTGGATACGTTATTACAATTCTACATCACTATAGTCTTCATCCGAAGAACTGTCATCATCCCCTGGTGTTATAATTATAGGGTCAACCACCTGATCGACCAAGTTGTCCAGTTCCCACATTTTATCTTCCTCTTTTTAAAACATGCTGGATTGCTTTTTGCCAGTTTTCTGATGTGATTTCCATAATGGCTTGATCAAACAATACCTTGACATCTTTCATTTTAAATGTGGTATTGTGCCTTGCAACATATCCTTTAACTTGTGCCCATATAAGTTCTATGGGATTTAATTCGCAATGATATGGCGGTAGGCGTAGCACAGTTACTTTATACTTTTCTGCTACATCTTCTACGGCATATTTTATGAAGCGAGATTTATGTTGTTTTACTACGGCTAGTAGTTCCTTCTTTATTGAATTCGTCTCAAACTGAATACCTTTATTTGACAGCCAGTTAATAATTTTCTTGCTTTCTCCAAGCTGAAGTTGGTACCTTCTCTATGCGCCTTGAATGGTAGCTTGCATTATCCATAACCACGACCGAATCAGCTGGAAGAAATTTTAACATTTCCCCGAAGTAGTCTTCGAAGACATCCTAATTCATGTCCTCATGATAATCTCCCGTCCGACACGACTCAAAGCTTAACAAACCTTATTTTAAAAATCCTTCTTCGCTTCCAATGTGAGCAATTATAAGCCTCTTCCCTTTTCCCGAAGGCACTTTAATACCCGTCGAAAGGCCTTCTATGAAAGCTTGGCGAGCACTTGTTACATTTTTATCTTGCCACATTTTTTGGACTATATAACCTTCGTTTATCCACGTCTCATCAAGATAAAAAATTTTCTTGTGCTCTCTGCGGTACTGGTTTTATAGTTCTCAAATATTTTCGTCTCCAGCAAATGATTTCATCACTTTCCAGTAATAGTGCCTTTCGATTGTGCTTTTCCCAGGAAAAATTCATACTTTTTAAAGTTTTCCATAAAAGTTTTCTGGATATCAAAGGAATATCGTTATCTTGGCTTATCTCCATTAGTATTTTGTCAAGGGTGGGTATTTCCTTTTTAAAATAAAACGAATGAACTTTTCTTCGAATGTCACGTTTGGTGTCTTCACCTAAGATTTTTATTGGTCTTCCTGATTTTCTCTTGCATGGACTTAACTGGCCTGATATCTTTCTTTCTCGCAATAATTTAAAAATCGTGGACTGTCCAATTCCAGTCATTCGGGCACATCGCTCAACACTTTCTTGCACAGACAAACTAGGGTGATCGTGTTTTAATGCAATCATATACATTTAAAATTATAACTTTTTCACTAACAGATAGCGGAGAATTTTTTACACCTCTTTTCTTTGAAGTAAATGTCGCCATTTTATAACTTTTTCACTATTTCTATATCACAATATTACTGTACGTTTAATTGGTGTAGTAACAATTACTAACTCGAATGTCGAATGTCGAATGATAATAATAAAATAAAAGAGGGATTATAATGAAAGTGTAAGTAAAACCTCATTACGCGTTATTAGTCTTCATGTTGATTTATTTTAGTTCTTAGTAATATTAGGAGGTGCGTCATACCCTTATCAGTTTCTTCTAATGCTTTTATTCGTTCAGTAAGGAAGTGAATTTGTTTTTATAAATAAAAATGTAATTAGCTTTAATGACCATATAATGGAATACGAGTTTGAAGAATAAGTTAATCGAAAAATTAAATAAAATTGGTTATCACAAAATATCCAAAATATGATATTTTGAGGTACATCAATTTTTGACGACGAAGTTGACATCCGTCCATTTGCCTACGCCCATGACGACACCGAAATTCAGGCAAATTTTATGACACTTCATATTTATTACTCTACACTCATTGAAACCAATTAATAGTTTAGTTCCTTCTGTTCTTTTAATTTAACCTATTTTGTAGCTTCTTTCATATCTCTACTTTATTTTTTATAGTTTTTTTTATAGTTAAATGAGGCTTTGCTAGCATGGATTTCTTTATTATGTTTTCTCTTGTGATATATTAAAACTCATTTTACACACTCATCTATAATGCTAAATGTATGTTTAAGATTCAATATACAACCTTCGTATGAATAATATCTGATATTTAAACATATGTCGTCTATATACTGAATTATTTTACATTTATCATTCATCAATCTATGCAGATCTGCAGTATACACATCAAATTACAGGGAGCTTATTAATTGAACCGTGTGGGAAACCGTTATATAATATTGTTGGACCGTGTAATGTATTTCTATGGTCGCGTAAATATATTTTTTTGTTCACAAACAAATTTAATATATTTACAGGTAATATTTTCAATATCATCAAGTGGGGTCGAATATCCGTAACTAAATGTATAAGTGCATCAATAGTACCCCGACCTTTACTAAAGCTATACTTTAAGCAGGGTAGAACTGATCTAAATAAGATGTTCTAATCAAAACTTAATTTTTTTTAAGGGTACCTTATGCTCACCCTAGCGCCTATAATTTTTCTCTAGGGTAGTGTAGGCCTTCAGGAACTTCACACCAAGCCTGACTTGTAGGTGACAGCCCCACTAACACATCTATCTCCAACGGCATACTCGGGACTACTCTTATCGAATGTATCTTAGAGCATGTTGCTTTGTCTCTGTTCGTTTTGTTCAGTTCCTTTTGTTCTTATAGTTTTACCTATTTTGTAGCATCCTCTCATATTCCACTTTCTTTATTATAATTTCCGCGATAGTCCTTTATGTTACACCGTTATGTTATAATACTATTTGCTAGCTATGACTTTCTTTATTATGCTTTCTAGTGTGATTCGTTCCATTCTTTTTACTAGTTTTTCCCTTTCATGGTTATATTGACTGCATGCAAAAACGTTATATTATGTCTATATGTCTAAATTCCATTTTCCAGGATTTTATGTTGACCGTCCTCATGCAATTGGCTTTGGTTCGTTCTTCGGACCGCTATCTCTAACTCTGTCCATATTTTATATGGTTATCCATGATCTTCCTTATATCTCTCTTCTCTCATTGAACATAGATACCCCTCCTTTACCATTAATTGAATTTTGGTAAAACTCCTGCTATCACTTATACATCAGTTGTTGAGGTTGTCCTATAAGCATTTACTACCCTTAGTAGTGGTTTTATTTGCGCCTTCATCATCGTTTCTGTGTACTTTTTTGGTACTTTTTTTCTTTAGTATTTCTTCCAAGACTGGGATCACATATTGAACTGTGAGTGTTATGTTTTTAATACGTCTTCCTTTTGGATGAACTGGGCCCTCCTATACTTGGCATTATTGTTGCTAAAGCGACGGTCTTTTCCTCAGCTTTCTTGATAACTGCTTTCTATATGTTTTGTAAAATTAAATTTGTCGTCTAGTTGAACCCTCAGATACCTCACCTATTTTTTACGTACAATTTTAACCCCTTCTAGATTAAACTTTAAATTAAAAAGTTCCTCTTAGTTTGTCCTTTTAGTATAACCAACTCTTTCTTCTTTGCCACTAATACCAATTTATTTTTGAAGTGAAAACTTCTTCAGCGAAGTTTTGCACATTTTGGATGGGGAAAAGAAGTGAATACGCGACAGCTTTTTGCATTAGTCACCACTACGCAAATTGACCGCAAAGTCGCATAGCTCGAGAACGGCTCGACGGATCGTGACGTATGATGTTTTATTAGAAAGGATAGAGGATATCTAATATAACGACCGAAAAAACAAATATGGTAGTATTGCCAAAAGACAATAACTCAAATCTCCGTTGTTATTGGTTCGATTGGAGCGTGTGATGCGTTAAATGAAAGGGGACGAATAAAGATTATATAAAGATAAAAAAACAAACAAGGCAACTACCAAAATGGTACTACACAGTGTCTTTGTTATTGAGAACATATAGTTTAATTTATTGACTTATAGCAGGAATCTGACTGAGTACAAAATACATGCTCGAATCCTCACATGCGACATAGCAAATGAAAGGATAGGATATAACGGAAAAATAATTTTTATATAATTTCATTAAAAATGATAAATATTTACATGTAATTAATATTCACAAAAAATTATTAATTCTATTTATCTCAAATTAATACTTATAATTTGTATAAAACCTTGTTTCGATGTAAAC